TGTCCACGGGTTTGGGATTTAAGGTCCCGGAGTTCGGATTCAAGATTGGTTGGTTTTGCACAGAGTTAAGTGAGCATTTGGTGTATGGTTAATTTCCATTGGTCATCAGTCAAAGGCTCCTTAGAGATGGGCCCATCATTGTTCGCAGTAACAGTGTTTTGTCAACACCGGCCCGAATTGACTCAGGACATATCTTCCATTGTCGACTCACTTGGCCCAAGCTTCAAACGGGAATTTACTGACCACTTCTTCCCATCAATCTTTCCTGAACCACTGCAGCGACTATGAGAGCCATACCATATGTTCATACATTGTATCATACATACTTGCCATTTAGAAATAAAATAATATTATCCCTATGAGAGCCATAACATATGTTCATACATTGTATCATACATACTTGCCATTTTTGCAAAAAAAAAAATAGTATTATCCCCATGAGAGCCATACCATATGTTCATACATTGTATCATACATATTTGCCATTTATGAAATAAATAATGTTATCCCTAACTACAAAATACAGCCAATATGCCTATAAAAATCATTTGATAGAACTGCATAATACAGGCTATATGCCTATGCAATCCCTATAATACAGCTGTGAAATACTGCATATTATATTTCGTAAATATAAATATACAGTACTTTACATGGCATATTTCATAAATATGGCATATTTAATAAGTATGGCATATTTCAGAAATATGGCATATTTTAGGAATATGACATATTTATAAAACAATATGGCATATTTTAGAAATATGGCATATTTATGGCATATTTCAATTTTCAAATACCAAATATTATTATTTTTGCCATATTTCTGAAATCAACACGCGTATTACGTATTTTTTTCCAAATTTTCATATCATATTTCATATTATATTTTTTAGCGTTTTCAGTGCATATTTATTATTTTAAAATAATAATATGCCAATTTTTCGCCATATTTATTATCGAAAAATATGTGCTCCTCTGTCAGGTCTTGGCCCGCTTGGGTCTTGGGCGATGGGCGGGCGGCGGAACGTTTTCGCAAGGGTTGTTCCGCCCACCAACTGTTATTCTTCATAACTGAAGTCGTGTGGGTCCTGGGCCTGGGCCCTGGGGAGAGTGGAGAGACTAGATACTGGAGATGGGCTGCCCTAAATACCTCTGGAATTTGGATTGATTGATTTTGTTTTGGGGTGATTGCTGATTGCTCATTTCAAATTTTCGTCTTTTCAGTTTTGAATTTTCTGTTGTTGACTGCTGGGGGCTTGGACCCCTTCTTGGGGTCTGGGGACCTGGGGAGGCAGTGGAGACTGTTGGGGAACGTTTTTGTAATAGTGTTTGATGCCAAAAAACGTAAACGTAAATATAGATGAGATCTGCTCACGCAAGCAAGAGCGAATTGAGTGCAAAAGTATGTAATATTTGTTTAAATTGTTTTTTTTTGCTTTTATAAAAATGAAATGTTCGGGTGGCTGTGATCAGACTGTCTGCGAGCGAGAGATTGAGTTCTCTGACCAAGGGTTATATTTAACTTTTTATGTGGCCTAAAAAGGGGGCTCAATACTGGAATATCGATTGGTCAATAAAAATATTTTTGGCGGTAAAATTAATTCTCAGGCTAACATACTTTACAGTGACATAGTCAATGACAAGTTAAATATCATATCCTCTGCTTTTTTTTGAAGACTTGTCTAGTGCCTGTCTAGCGGTTTTCTATTATGATATTTCTGCACGCGGAACGGTTACATCAATAGTACATTCGCTGAAGTGAATAATATAAAGTAGCCATCTCCGCATCTAAATTCGTATTAACTGCGTACTTTAGCCCTTCCAGTGACATTATTGAGTTGTGCCGACGTGATTACATCAGTAACTATGGCGAAAGTGAACGAAATCGTCTACGGTATACACAATACTGAATTAGGAAGTATCATAATAGCCACCACGGCGAAAGGCTTATGCTGGCTGGGATTCATGGTGACCAAAGAAAATGGTGCATACAAAGGTGATGGCTATAGCCGCATGATGCAGTTCTACCCTGAAGCAACCGTTGAGGCAGAAACCAAGTGCGCATGCACACTTCCAACTGCACATGCAACCGCGGACTGTGGGAGTTGTTTTGCATCAGAAGCACAAACGCCCACCGCCAAGCTTCTAGCACTACCCCTCGATCTACGAGGCACTGCATTCCAAATGCAAGTGTGGGATGCTCTGCTGGACATACCCTGGGGAGCCACTCGCTGCTATGGTGATATTGCCAACCAAATAGGCAGGCCCAAGGCAAGCAGGGCTGTGGGTACAGCCGTCGGACAGAACCCCGTATCTATTCTTGTGCCGTGTCATCGCGTGCTACAGAAGTCCGGTCAGTTGGGTAACTATGGGTGGGGGTTGACGCTTAAGGAGTCTCTTCTGAGGCAGGAGGGCGTGTTAGTATAGAGCAAATATAGATCACCTTGTATTCGTGTATTGCAGCCCATGTGTGAATTTTTGAATAGAAGAATAGCTTATAAATACGCATAATGACTCTTACTTCAGCCAACTGCTCCGCAAAAATTGCAATCAGAGAGTTTGGTCAATTTCACAATCAGATAGTTTGCTGAGATAGTTCATTCTTTAACAGACCGGTGCATTGCGGCTCCGGGCTGGTATGTAGCTGCCAATACAGGAGGTTGCGATTGGTTTGTCTATGCAGACAACGCGTTAGCAGCTTGATTGTAGAATTTTAGAGGGGGCTTAAAAACCCAGCAGCTGGATACTTCATTCTTATTGATTTATGTTTTCAAACAATGTGTACCTGTACATAGTATTCTTGTGTGCTGGTATATATGGTTCAATTTTATTGGTTTTCGCCATAGATCGGTGTACGCTTGACTACGTACATAGCAGTTCTCTGCGCAGATTGGTACACGTTCTTCACGCGTGCTTTCTACGTGTATCATTTCGCAATTGTCGTTCTGTCGTTCTGTACTTAGTGGGGCACGTAGTTCTCCTCTACTCTGAAGAGTGTCGGTGATGACTATTACGTGATATATCGCTATGTCCATTTAAAAATTGAAGCCAGTGCAGTTCCAGTACACCTGCGATCGCTACAATAAACGAGTTATATCTTCCTTTGCAATACAACCGATCAAGCTTCAAGACTGATGTGCTGGTCGAGACATGACTAAATAAAAACCTGGGCACAAATAGTGAGGGTGAAACATTCCCAGAGAACACACTTCCACAGCGATTCATGTACCTTGATAGTCCTTTTTATTTGATTTGATCTTGAGCTCTTTGGTGTCTGATACATGCATGTCCCCATCACAGATAAGGGGTGCGATGTTGTGTCGCCGTGGACACCTTTCGGTTCTCTAACAGTCATTAGACATCACCAGACGCCATGGCGTGCTGCAGGGAGCATTGTAATAGATAATATAGGTTAGTTGTAAATCGAGGTGCCTTTAAATAAACAGTTCCGATTGTACAACCTTTCGGGCTATATTATTGTAGAGAGTATTCAACAGAAACTCGAATCGGTATCTGTCTTCAGTGGACACAGTAGGAGCTACGAGGAGAACTAAACTACAGGTAGCAGGACAATTGCTCAAGCCTGTTATCTTGCAAACCTATATTTAGACACTATGATCCACATCTGAAACAACATACAATATATCCCAGCGTGTACACATATCATATACATATTAGGTCTCGACACAACAAATCACACAAGTGCACACTCACCTCAAGTCCATTGTGGGGTTTCTTAATCAAATCCGTTGCTGATTTCCTGGCATCCTCAGTAAGCGGAGGCGGTCGTGCGGGTGGACCCTGTATGATGCTCGTGGTAGACTGGTTGTTGATGGATGATAAGCTGTCTCCTCTCATTGACGAGGGGTCTTTTTTAGGCCTCGACGCAGGCCTCGCTGGGCGTGCTTCTCTGCTATGGGACGGTGTATCGGTGCGCGTGGTGCTGTTTGCGACTGCTGGTGTATGCGTGACTGGTTGTACCGAACTGTTCGTAGTGGTATCGGACTCGCCGTCTGCGTAGATTGTCCTGGACTGTGGGGTGGACCGCAGTCTCTGCTTCAAGAGCACCACATTGGGGTCTTCGCCCTCAGTGTCACTCCTTGACTGTCCATTCTCATCTCCACTATCTGCCTGGCTGCGTGTGGAACCGGGTACATGTGCCATGGCAGCGAATGAAGGCGTGTATGTAGACACGGGCTTATTTGCCCTATCCCCCGAGCCTATGCCCCTTAGAACGTGCTCTAGCTTCTGGGCCTCCTCCTCGGACATGTCGACTAGTTGTGATTTATGCTCCCTGCTCTCTCGCTTGTCCTTCACTTTCAGGTTGAGCAGGGATCCGGCGCTGGAAAAGAGACTCTCCGTGCTCGAGCGCAAGCTGTTCATGCTGCTAGACAGCGACCTACGATAGCTCTGCCTGTCTTCCTCGTCTCCCGTGTCTGTATCTGTATCCTTGCCACTGCGATTTTGGTTGTTCTCCGAAGGCTCTGCACCAGCAGCGTGATGTGTGTGCTTGTGGGTCTTGCGCTTCCGCTTGCTGTGGGTTTCTAGGCAGTCGTCGCTGCTCGTGAGGGGCACTGCTGCAGTGCTGTTGAAGTAGTCGGGGCTGAAATCAGTCTCATCCGCTGACGCTAACCCCTCAGCACTGCTATTGTATCGCACGTGTGCCTTATCCCCGGAGCGTGTGCCCCTTTTCCGGTGCCTGTCACTGCCCTGGGCGTTGTCTGTTTCTTTCTTCTTCGCCAGGAGGTTTGTCGTGCTTGTGCGTAGCTTCTCTAAACTCGCCGAGAATGACCGGATGCCACCCTTGAGCTTCGCCTTAGACTCCTTGTCTTTACCCTTCTCCTTGTCCTTCTCCTTGTCTTTCCTTCTCCCCTTCTTCTCTCCCTTCGACCGGCCCTTCCTGTTCCTTTTGGGTGTACTACTGCCCTCCTCCTCAGCACCACAGCCGCCAGCTGTTGGGGCTGGCCGTGGGTACACATGTAGTTCCGTTCGTATGGCCGTCGGTGGACGGGGGCGTGTTGAGGTATACTGGGGCCTTGGAGCACTGTGTATGGTAGCATCGTTAGTATCCTGGTCTATTTGCCTGGCACTCTCTTGCTTCTTCATGGCCAGTTGTTCGTCAATGCTCAGACCCTGCCTGGCGCTTCCGCTCACGCCGTTGGACTCATCCGCATTTGCATTCGCACCCACACTTACCGTGCTTTCGGGTCTGCAAGCCGGTTTCAAGGCAACCATGGGCCGGTTAGTATCACTGTCGCTCTGGTCTGATGGACAGCTAGGTGTTAATCGCGATGTCAGGGCTTGCGAGGACGTGCTCGCATTTGCCGTGTCGTATGTAGGCCTGGCCGCTTTCAAGTGGGGATTGTGACTCTGGTGGAAGCCATCCGTCGAGTGATGCTGGTCTGTTGGGTTAGTGTTGTTGTGCTGTGTAGTGTGTTGGCTGTGGGTCTCTCTACCGTCCCCTGGGCGTGCTTTGGGCGTGTGCGCGTCTTTCGCAGAGCTTCTATTCCCACTGTTGACAGCACTTGGCTTCACATCTGTGCCATCGTGCCTACTATCCTCCAGCCCACCCGCACTGCTGCCGTCCGTGGTAGCACTCTCTAAACTGTGTTCCTCGCTGATTCGGTCTGTCGTATCTGCGTGCCTGCCTTTCCTTCTGTTCATATGGAAGAGACTCCTTTTCTTGTGTGTGTGCTTTACTGAGGATATATCTCCATCCACGTCCATCCCATTGGCCTCCGATATGTTGTCGTCGCTCTCACTCACAGTCATACTCCCCGTGGTGTACCCCTCGGCATCACTCACACCATCGCCCTTCTTTGACCTGGACGAGTCCTTTTTGCTGAACAAGGTCTCGGTGCTAGACTTGAGGCTCTCTAAGCTGGCCGATAGCGACATCAACGACCTACTCCTGCTCTTGCTCTTGTCCTTTCCTTTGCCCTTCAGTCCCTTTTCCTTCTTCTTGTGCCCCCCTCTGCGACCCGCTTCCTCGTCCGTACTCTCGCACTCATTTGTAGTGCCCTTATCGCCTTCTCTAGAGTGTGCGGTGGTACGCTGACCATTCCACCCACCACACCCTAGCCCACGCATTTCATGACTATTATGTGCCTCCACCGAGTCTTCTTTCGACGGCTTGGGCGGCACGTTGCTGACACTGTCGCTGTGCACACGTGTATACATACCCTCGCTCTCACACGCCACCCTCTCCTGTTGCGGTGGCTTTGTCCGCCTGTGAGCTGGCGAGGGGACGCGCTCCAACATATCCGTGCCCAGTGATATCTGGTTGGTCGTGTTTGTCTTGTTGACAAGCACCGGTTGTGGCGTTGATGTAAAGTCCACGCTGCTGCACATCGACTGGGGTCTGGATGTGGCCAATGCGGTGTGACTGAGTCTGCTTGATCTGAGTGGTCCGGTGGGGCTGATGCTGTTGGGTATCGTTCCCGGTTGCAGCGCCCGCACCTGAGGGGGTCGTGAGTGTGTGGATAGGGTTAGTTCGGTTTAATGCAGAATAATAGTACACTATAACACATCCCAACAAGCGCTAGATCTATACGCATACGGAAACGGGGGTGATGGACAGAGATCGTTCATCGATTCTCCAACCAAGGGTACAAAGTGGCGTTTTCGTGTCCTCGATAGTCCAATCTGGCTCAAACTCGAGAGCCATTATTACCTTCCGATTGAGGTCACACGTCCGCTTCATAGTAGCCTGTCGGCCCAGAAGTCCCGTACTCACGCTGTTGGTCGACCCTCCCCTCGAACCGTGCACTATGGTACGCCAGTGGGGGGGCCGCTCGGGCTTGTCCAGATTGAGTGAGGTGGAGCTTTTCTTCTGAGCTTCTCCCGAGAGGTCGTCATAGCACGCCTCGTCGGTGTTCTGAGCCTGTCAAGTGCCGTGAAGTGTAGCAGATATGAATGAGGGGTCTTCAACGGGACGATACAGTCCTATATTAAGGCCCTAGGCCAAGTAAAAGTTCACACCCGTCTCAGACTATTGTACGTCTTCATTTGCGACAAACAACAAGCGTATCAGAACCAGCAAGAGATAGAAACCGGCCTGTAATCGAGCACTACGTCGACACAAACCTCTTCAACACAGATGCAATATGGCATACCACACATAAATGCCATAGCCAACGGGCCACTCGAACTCTCTTACGTACATCTCTGATAGCCGAGAAATCCGCCTTCTTCGCGAGATCGAGAAGGTCGTCAAGAGCGCCGCTGTAGGTTTCGTCATCGTACCCTGGATATGGTGGTGCGAGAGGTAGGGTTCAGAAGGTTGTGGTACCGTGATAATCAATTTAGGTACCTGCATGAGACACAGATACATGCCAATGATGTATTCAATAGCAACCGTTGTACAAGTCAATAGTATTTTTCTGTCATGCTGAGCGGAATGTATAGATCACGACTCTACACATCCACGTGTACACGAGGTCTTTCATCCTAATCGCTTTCTATGGAGAGTGACGTGTGCAAGCTCCCGTGTGTGCCATCGCACGCAAACACGCAAACACACATCCTCAAGTGTAACAGGACAGTATAAATTCCACAGCAAAGGCGCAACCAGCAGTAGAACAAACACTGCACGAGCACATCCCAGCAACATGCACAGCTGCAGTCCACATGCATCCTTACGCACTCCTGCCCATGACACCAACCACTACAACCCCCACGAAACTCATTCCGTCGTATACACACACACACACTCTCTCTCTCTCTCTCTCTTTGTCTCTCTCTCACACTTACACATACACACCATGCTCTCTTTTCTCTCTCACACACACTCACACACACACACCATGCTCTCCTTTCTCTTGCTTTTGCCGGCCCTCCTCGGTCACCGCGAGGATCTTCTTCTTGGCCAATGTGTGTCGGTTGTAGTTCTTGAGCCCTCGTACCGCTTCATCACCGGTTTCTTTCCTGGACAGCTTGCTTTTGCCCCCCAATTTATGGGCTGACAGCCTGTTCGTGTACTTGAGCTTCTCGCTTTCGGCCCTGATGGTGCTGCCCTTAGCCCGCAACTTGGCCGCAAACGGCAGTGGTTTGTCTTCCTCGGTCTCGCTGCCGGCACTGTCTTTTGAGCAAACTATTTCTGCGAGAGCAGAATGGTTACGATGTGTTACAAAGGGTATGTAAAAGGACCAATGATATGCCTAAGTGGCTGGATGTGCACTACAAATATGGTAGTTGAACTAGTGCATCCAAATGTGTGACAATTAACACACACCACCCCCTTCTCTCTCTCTCTCTCTCACACACTTTAAAGGACTGGCCGTTGCTGTCTTTCGTAATAGAGCATCTCACAGATCCATAAGCTGTAGTCCAGGGCCGTGAATAAACCCCGCTCTATCATAGTATACCATAGCTAACATATGCACTATACACCTCGGACTGTGTAAAAGATATAAAGGTATATGAACACACGCTGCCAGGCATGGTTCGGTGGAGTACTCAGGACTTACCAATGAACTTAAGGTCGTCGTCTGGAACCAATTGTATCTGCGGTGGCGGTGGCTTGTCCACGGGTTTGGCGACGGGTGGTTGCTTCCGCTTTGCGGCTGTGATAGAAGGAAACGTTTGAATGCACGTGAGATTGCGTGAGAATATAAACTTCGTTCGATAAATGTTGATCATAAGGTATGTTGCGACAAAGTGAAGCATTCTTGAAGGCCTAAGTTCTCGTTTCGGTGTAGTACTGTAGTATGCAAGCTTTGTGTGGCATAACCAAAGGAATGACGTACCTTTCTTAGGCGCGTCCGATTTGGCCTTGAAATCCTCAATACTCTACGTACGACATGATAGATAAAACCAATAATATTAGTAAATACATATAAAGACTAGAAAACAAAACTAAAAAACAAAAACAAAACGCAGCCGCTATTCCAATGTTAAATACGATTTGTGCAGCACTTGAAGCCTGGTAGTTTCAAGACAAAGAACAGACCATCAGTGACTGTCACATTTACGAACGCCACACGATCGCACCTGGATAGCCTCGCAGAACTTCTCTTTGAATTCGTAGAGTATTCCAAAGAAGGTGTCGGGGGTGGCACCTTTCTCCGGATACGCAAGATATTTGACGGTTTCGGTGAACGTGGTCTCCATTTCCTTGAGCAGCTATTTATAAAGTGTCGTGGTGTAGGTAAAACACTATTTATAAAGTGTCGTGGTGTAGGTAAAACAATATTTATAAAGTATTGTGGTGTAGGTCAAACATTATTTATAAAGCGTCGTGGTGTAGATAAAATATAATTTATAAAGTGTTGTGGTGTGGGTAGGTAAATCTTTCAGACCAGAGGGTCAGTGGAGGGACCATTCATGTACAAGAATACCGCGCGATGAACAGCTCAAACTCCGTATGCATCTATTGTATCTAAGCACTGATAGATAGGCTGTATATTGTGGGGGGGAGCAAGCTCCGCTGCCCCAACCGATAGTACGACCGTTAAGTGTATTAGAACTGACCGCCCTTGTACACATTCAGTAGACCTAGAGGTAACACTCGGCACTAAACAATACAACATGCGAAAATTCAACCAACACCACCACCACCACATATGGCCCGACACACACACACTTTCATCAGCTTAATCGGATCTTCTTCGTAGATGTCACAGAATTCGTCTTTCACGCACTCCAAGAACTGCCGCCCGCCAATGGCCAGGGGACTCTCTGTGTAGTGCTTGATCTCGGCCTTGAGCTTGCCCATGCCTGTGCTCAGCTGCACCACTTCGGACCGACATATTTCAATGCTCACCTGGTGTGTACGAACGAACGGAAAGCGCAGATCAGGCGCGATAAAGGATCGTGAATATACTCAAACCATGTGAAGAACAGAGGATATATGCATCTGGGTATAAAATAGTGGATATATGCAAATGACTTACGATTAGTGAATATATGCATATGGTTTAAGAATAGTGGATATATGCATATGTTTAAGAATAGTGAATACATGCATATGGTTTAAGAATAACGGACATAAGCAAATGGTTTCAGAATAGTGGAGATATGCAAATGATTTAAGAATAGTGGATGGATGCAGGTGTTTGACCTATGCACTGTATCTTGCTAGCAGCTCTCGCCCTAGCGATAAGTCTTCGCCTGTTGAGCGTCTATCACCATACCACCGCAGCGTTGTTTTCTTACTGATAAATTAGTAAGAAAGCCTGCGATGTAACTGGATGATAGTCGCGTCCCTACAAAGAACAGAGTCACGCACTCACATCTATGGTACACCTCACTGCAATAGTTTGTTGCTTGCCACGGGTGGGTTGAACGTGTGTATCTACAGTAGCGCATATACCACTCTGTGTGCCAGGCAACACGTCTCGCCAAAGTGTACGCCCTGTACCGTATGTACCTTTTTGGCTTCTTCCAATGTACTCAGCTCGGACGGCCACTCCATCACACCCTCCCACTTGGTCTGCAGCTGCGTGATGATGTAGTGCAGCACACTATTGCTTTCCGGTCCTAACGTATGCCCCTCGGTTATGCATTTGGTGTCCAAGAGCTTGGCCAGTGATTCTATCGTAAACCCGAACGCCCCTACACGTAGCAAGCGATAGGTGAGGACAGGTAAACAAGTGGATGCGGCGACCTTGTGAATGGGAAACTCAGGCGCATGCTATCCACAATCTTATGGTAGACTAAGAACTGCACTACAGAGATGTTGCTATGATACGAGCTAAGGATCAAAAACAAAAACACAACGGTATTACAAACATGTGTACAAATTACCAAGAAATGCTATACAGAGATGTTGGTATAATACGTACTAATGACCAATAACAAAAACATAACGATACTACACTCATATGTACAAATTATTAAGCATTGCAATACATAGATAATACTATGATTTGTATTATTATCAAAATTAAAAACCCAAAGTCATTGCACTGATATATACTACCAATCAAGAGCTACACTACAATCATATGACACGATGATGTACTAAGTCCTCTCGCAGGTCATCAACAATAAGACCGTACCTCCCGCGGCCTTCCCACCGTTACAATAGTTGCCATAGGCCAAGATGATCTCGAACAACTCCTTCAGCTTGACACTTTTCTTCAGCTCATGACACGCATCAATCACCGCCTGTATATCGGGTTCTACCTGATCCATACGCTCACGGAACCTGCACTCGTGTAGCATTGATTAGTATGTGTGAGTACAGACCTTCATAATCATTGACACTGAACAGTTCAGTACGTGTGAGTAAAGAACTTCGTAATCACTGGCCTTCTGGATCAGTACGAGCTGGATAGTCACCGCATACACCGCCAACGTGAACAGCAGCCCTTACTTTATCTTGTAGATCATCGCAGACAGTCGCTGCGAGTATCGGGGCACCTTGATGGTTGCCATGACAAACTGCTCGGCCCGTCTGACTTTGCTGAGGTCTCCCTTGTATTCCGCGATGGCCTTTGACTCGCTCTGTGCTTGTGGTGTGTGGTGTGTGACAAGGTTATCGAATAGCCCGAACCGTGACGTGGGATTTAATCTCTATTGAGAGGTGGTTGTTCCGTTGTCCCGGGTCATCTACTGGGTATCAGTAGCGTCGCCTGCGAAGCTATCTGTATCTGTACTATGCAACACAATGACCAAAAGACGTTGTGTATGTTGAAAGACACGGCAATGCACTGTGCGACAACCTGGCGCACAAAAAAAAATATATATATATATTTTACGACAACGTAGAGTACCTAATTTACGACAATCTGGTACACGCAAATGTGGTGTCAACATTGGCGCGTGTCCACTTACGTCTTCGAACTTGTTTATATCAGAGAAGCGCTCCAACATCTCCAAGTCGAGCACGGTGTCGTCCATGTTGATGAATGCCTGTACAGTGAGATGTGTGTGATGTAACAGCCCTGAGCATACTCGCCAAAGCGTGGCTGCACACTGATGTGTTATACAGTCTATCGGACAGATGCTTTCGCACTTGCTCTTGAGCATAAACCTCAATCACTTGAAATAGTATCGATACGGGGCATATAGTAAGGCAGCTCAGTTGAGCATATATTTTTCTACATACTATCTAGAGAGTGATAGCGATGAAGCAGTCAGACTAGCGTCACGCTTCACTACATAAACATTTGTCACATGCGATTCGACTTACCAGAAGCCACTATTTCTCTCAAACCCGCGATACAAGTCATACCTTACAAACAGCATACACTGACATAACAACTTACAGAATGCGTACAACAGGTACACGGACCTTCTTTGCAATGGGATTTCCAATACTTAGGTATATGATACTCACCTCGGTGATTGATTCAAAACTGAGCGTCACTTTAGACAACATGATCTCGATGGCATTGGAGGTCTTGTCGGTCAGCATCGTAATCTGTGTCTTTTTCTCTGTGACAGGATGAGAAGCAATAAGTTTGATTCGTATTAGCCTTACATTTGCCCACCCGAGTTAGCTTATTCGTTGTTCTATGACATGAGAAGTATTAAGTTTATTTCATATCAGCTGGCCTGGAATTTGCAAACCCGAAATAGCTTCTCCACCACGACTGTTTACTACAACTAATCGTCCTCTCGTGCAAAGGCCCTCACTATAGCAGCACGCCACACAGTGCTTCCACTAAATTTGCTGCTTTGCAGAGAGAAACACACACTGGACGACCTCGAGAGGCGTGTACGGCGTCGTATACTTGCCCTAACAATAAGTGATATATATATATATATATATATATATCCCTAAACCCTGCACTCCTCCGTACCTTTGACCCGCAAGGTGCCGTCTTGCACTAGGTACACCCCCTTTGATGGTACTGTGTAGACATTGTCGCTTGGTAGTCGTCCGATTTTGTCGGACATCCGTCGCTCCTTGTCGGATTGTTGGACATTGCTCTGCAGTACAAAAGTTATACGAACAAATTACGATGTCAGCATAGCCGCCGCTTTGGTTGTGGTGAGACGACAGATGCGTTAATTGGCAAAGCAGAGAGGGATTCCTACATATAACTGGTTCATGTACGGGTCAAACCAGTGAATGTATGGGTCAATTAACCAGCCTAATGAGTATATTCGCAATTGCATGCCCCTATATTCTATCATCGCATAAAGTGTGACATGACACGGAAAGGATATCACTCACCTCAGTGGCCTGGGCTGCCGAGTTACCCGTGACGAACTTCACTCTAACCATGTGTCCTTTGATACGCACATGCCACCATGTCGGTGCGCAGAACCCTGTCAGCTGACTGGGCTTCATCTCCGCACTCATCCAGGTGCGTTTGGTGTCCCGGTCCTTTTCTGTGGGTTCAGGTGCACCTTCCGGTGTGGATTCGAGCTCAGTCTTCAAGCCCTCTGCCTTGGCAGTTATGGGAGAAGTGCCTGGGGTATTCACTGGAGTGACTTCGGCTGTGTCTTTGAGAACCTTTACTCTATTGCCACCCGCTTTCCCTACGAGGATTCATATAATAGAGCGTATACGTATACAAAGCGTGAGAATAGATTAACCAAGTCAGTGTGCGTCTGTATTGTTTTGAGACGCATGGCTATTGGCTAGGCCTGGCAGCGCATCTGTATCCCGTTCGTCTCTCGAGCAAGACATAGAACAACACCACTGACCTGTTGCTACGGCGATTGCAATGGAGGTTAAACCGTACTGCAGAAGTGTAACACAATTAGACCGCAGATCAAGCAGACAACTCACACACAGCCAACACCAGTGAGACCATACAGTGTGCAAGAGGGTCTCCGCAGACACTCGTATGTGGTCGCAAACCTTTGAATGACACGAGATAGCCTCATAGTTGCACTGACAAACACAGCTGCTTACATCTATGTCTACGTGTGTGCCTCACATACTTCGGGGCGGGTTGCCCTGTCCACTCTTCTTTTGGTGTGCCTTGACCTCTTCCTCAGAAAGCGGACAGTAGTATAGTTTTGGGACACCCGCCTCCTCTTTGCATCGGAAATACAGGTCGATGTTGCCCTCTGTACAGTTTCGAGTTGTACCGGGGAGGTGCACGAGTATGTGTGAGGCTCTATGTGTCATTGGGTTGCAATGGAGTCGAGCTCAGGTGCACAGGTCGATGATTCCACTAGGGGATGTACATATACTACAAAGAATGTACAGGGAGTATGCATTGGAGTGTAGGCTACTGGGCTTGGGACCCAAACGGTCCGATGGAAGAATACGATAACCATGCACCCCTTATACCTTCTTATTTGTGTTGAGCCCCGGTTTCGAAGCGCTCTACCCAGTTGGCGAAGTTAGATGCAGGCATCCGACACCACATGCAACATGCACAGATAACTTGTACCATGAAAAGGTCTCTATATTAAAAAACCACTAAATCTAGTACCATGAGAAGTGTATTTATTAACAAGTCACTACGTCTAGTACCATAAAAAGGTCTCTATATTAACAAGTCACTAAATGTTGTACCACAATAAGGTCTCTATATTAGCAAGTCACTACATCTAGCACCATGAAGAAGTCTTTATAACCACTACATCTAGTACCATGAAAAGGTGTTTGCAATAACAAGTCACTACATTGAATGTATATGCGTGGTAAAGACGTCGGGACACGCTAATCATTATAAAAGCTTTGGCCACTGAGTGATGCAAGGCTTTAGTCATACCCTTGAACTCGACTACTTTGACGCGGCTTTCAAAGTCGGTCTTGTCTATCTTCTGCAATGCTTTTTCATCGTCCACGTCTTTCCAGATTGTCCCTTCCAATTTGCTGTACGGCACTTTGGTCCACTGTGAGATGTGAATTTAAGTTTTAACCACACAGTGTACTCACAATCCAACGGGCTGCACGTGCAGGTGAGAATACAATTCTATTGGATAGGCGATAACTGTCGGCGTCAGACGTTGTGGATGGTTTATAGGTGCATGCCCAAGCAAGTCATTGCTTTAAACCAGTAGCACCTTTATACAAGCCACTCACTCAGTGGGTTTGCATGTTCTCTTTGTCTGGATTGGCTCACAACGGGGTATGGCATAGAACAGCATTAGGCCATGACATGTCTTCACAGCATCCGACACACACTCCCACATACGTACACACACACATGCACACACATACACGCACGCACACACATACGCACACACACACAAACAATCACACATTGTCAGCTCGTAAGAACCTCAACCCAACCCAATCCAAGTCATCCCAACTCACATTGATTCCTTTGAGCTTCTGCGTGGGCTCTATGCGCTTCTTTTTGGGCACGGCTGTAAAGCCAGCCATGGCTTTGGGTGCGCCTGGGGGCGGCGGTGGCCCTGGTGCACCTCCGGGCGGTGGTGGAGGGGGAGGAGGACCACCTGTGCGTGCAGCAATGGGCAATAGGGGTAGCAGGGTTTAGGGTTTTGCTACATGTGGTTGATGGGGGGAAAACCCCTAAACGCTAAGCCCTATTGTGCCGGAGTGGTGGTAGGACAAGGTAACGGTCCTTTGGTATGGGTACTTGAAAGGCTCATGTCTTCAACCGGAGAACAAGAACACCGACATCTCGCTATTGGAGTTAGTAGTGGACAATCACTGAAGGGTACCTGTAGTTTATCCGTCATATATCGAATACTTTAATAGATATATACCCTGCACGTGGGTCTGCCATCTCACCTGTCGACCCGTACAGGAAAAGGACTGGGTAGAAACTGGTGTATCGCCATCCAAAAACATATACACATACACAACGACACATACTTCACGCGTGTGTGCACCATCCAAACACATACATGCCTACACATATATACACACTTCACGCGTGTGTGCACCATCCAAACACATACATGCCTACACATATATACACACTTCACGCGTGTGTGCACCATCCAAACACATAAATACCTACACATATATACACAATCCACGCGTGTGTCTGCTAGCTTACCTCCTGGGGGTGGTGGGGGTGGTGGTGGCCCAGCCATTCCCGGTGGCGGCGGCGGTGATGGCGGTACTGAGAGTGTGAGATGAGAAGATATGTGAGCAAAGTACATTGGTTTGGTCTGTGTGAGTTGAGTTCAGAAATTATCTCAAAGGACAGTTTGAATACGAGCCGTAAAGGCACATGTGTATACAAAAGCCCAGTAGAACGCGCACGGAGAGAAAAGTGTATGTGTGTGTCAACACGCGGCACCATGCTGCGATGTTGTGATGCACTTCGGAGCATTCAACGTTAAAGAGCTTAAACACCAACAACAGACTCAGTCGCATATCAGACAATGTGTAGCTAAATAGCTGAAACCAGAGACGGTTACGGATAGACTCACCTCCGGGTGGGGGCGGTGGTGGTGGTATGGCGCCTGTGAAGGGGGGATAAATGCCTACTCAGGGGGGGTGGGGGGGGGGGGATGAAGTGAAGGCAATCCAACAGTACCGATTGACTGGCAATTGCATTAGTACACAAATCTTATGCTATACCTACTATGGCTATGGTATACCTACTATGGATACGGTATACCTACTGTGGCTATGCCACATTCAGTCCAGTAGCTAATAGTAGGTATCCATTACCGCCTTGGTGGTATTGTTAAGCATGTCTGATACACTGGTCAAGGAGTCACCACTCACGAGTAAACGAGAGGGCCAATCAGTGCTGAGTGCATACGAGAGACCGGCACTAGCGCTGATGCATAGGTGTGGCATGACAGATGAGTAAAACACTCTTCCAAAGGATCATCCTGTGCGAGCCCAACACACCCACCCAAACAAATAGATATGTACGCAGGTAGAAACAAGTCACGACATCTGAGGGGACAATGGTAGCATCCCACACTCAACCAGGAACAAATCACAAACAAGCAAATACTAAAGCGGCGGATATGACACAAACATGCATGCAAGCACTCAGCCAGCACCCCACACTCCTTCAGTAGCACATCACACACAGCACATACCCCCAGGTGCTCCCAGAGGTCCAATGGGTTTGGCTGTCGCGCCAGCGCCACCTGCGACTGTGGAGGAGTCGGCCGAGCCGTTCTTTTCAGAGCCATCTGTGGCATTCTCACCCATCTTTTCGCCTGTGAGTGGATCCAGGCCCTGTTTGACGCGCTCGTTTTGCAGCTGTGATAAGAGGTGGTGCCACGGTCCAAAGTGTGAGTTGTTTTTGTTTTGTAGGAGCGAAAGTTCGGTATTATTGGTACGCGAAGCGGCGCGTCTTGGGTTTAAACCCCTAAACGATTGGGATGCGACATATCAGGGAGGTGACTAGTGTGGGAACGATGAACTGCGGTGGCCACAGGCCACATTGCAGCGGCTGAGTACACTGTGTAATATAAACTGCTACGCATGCCATGTAAGCATTTCAATTCTGCTAGCAGTGTTAAACGGAATGCACGCATTCAGAAGGAATATATTAAACACCATAATAACCATTTCAAAGCCGATTATATACCGATCACACATCAAGTCATGGTACACCGGTCACATTCTATCGTGTACAATCTGTCGTTATACACTAAGCCATGTACTCCTTGCCATTATACAGGACAAATACTTGCTAAACTCATTATATATATATATATATAAATATATAAATGTATAAATATATAAATATATTAATATATATATATATATATATTTGTGTGTGTGCACATGAAACCCACACCTTGGCCTTCTCTAGATCTCCGCTCAGCCACGTGGGCCACAACGACTCACCGGCGAGGGCACTCTGCACCTCGCGCATCTTGCCGTCGAAGGCATTCATTTGGTATTCTAGATCCTTCTGTAGTTCTTGGGTCTTAGCCTGTATATGACAATAAGTGGATCGATGTTGAGCCGATGAACATATGCGTAGAGATTCTTGTGCTCAGACTAAGTACACTGCTACCAGTGAGGGTTTCGCATGTAACATGGTACTACTAACTTGTAGCAAATACAGCAGAGCATAGACCCTTTCCTTTGAGTGCATGCACGGTAAAGCACACCACTTGTCCTCTCCCGGTGTTTGCTTCCGTAGACTCACCTTCTCCACTTCGAGTTCTTTCTCGTGTTCCAAGGCCTTGGTCATCTCCGAGACATCCAACTTCCAGTTCAGGTGAAAGTCGGGGTCGGCCGCATGGGGACGCTGCAGTACAACAGCGGATATGATATTGCCAATCAGTTGCATATACAGCGGACACGCCTGCGGGTCTGCGTAGGGAATCAGCGTGAGGTCTTGCAGCACCTTCTTCCACCTGCACGGTGTGAGAGGAAGGAATAGGTAGGTCAATACATAGATCATGAAACACGGTGCGAGAGGGAGAAATAGGTAGATACATAGATCATTGAACACAGTGCGAGAAGAAGCAATGGGTGGGCCACTACATAGATCATTAAACACGGTATAGTGAGTGAGTGTTCGGCTCTCGTCTGTTACTTGTGGTGCGTGTATGTGGTTGGTTGATAGCTGGATCGGTCGTGTGCTGCGAGTGGTTGGTTGATAGGTCGCAGTATCAACGTATACCTCCACTTCATACCCAGTGGTGCACGAGGGCTTTATGCAATTGCTTAGAGCCCCTACAGGCCACCACTCCGCAGGAGAGACCTCTCGTTAAAGCAGGAATCTAACCCCATGACTAGTCGTGACCGACGACAATCCAGCCCACACCACAGAGTCACTGATTACCCATAACTTGTTAGACGGGTACATATACCTACACTACAATGACACTGTGATTACCCATGACTTGTTAGACGGGTACATATACCTACACCACAATGTCACTGTGATTACACGCACACGGGTCTACCTGCCGAGCAAGCGTGTACGCGCACAGCTCGTGATAAAGTGCATCGTTAGGGCACTTACGGTTTGAACGCGGGGGTGTTGAGGCACTTCTCGTTGATAGCTGTGAACATGGAGAGACTGTCTGAGGTGTCTGCATCTATGTACTTGTTACTCAGCTGAACCTGTAGGGTGTACGATTTGGGTTTTAGGGTTACAGGGTTTAAAGGTTAGGGTTTATGGTACTTGCGCCGAGCACTGCACGGGTCATGCTGCGTACCTTTGAGAACTACTTATTTGGCCAGGGTGTGAGATCCACACCAAGTCTGGTTATGTACAACGACGAAACCTTCTACACACAACGGTGATAACCAGAGTCAAAATAAACCACAAACTTAGCTAGACTCGTAGGCATCTGTCATTCAATAATACGGTAATGCAAAGTCAATGCACATTCCACACCTACACACACACCATCTATACAGCTGGCCTATGCACTGTAACAATCTAATACGTTGACGCAAAGACACATCACCTATACTGCTGAAGCACGCACTACACCAATTGAAGTTATAATTGATCTCGGTAAACAATTCATACCCTGTCCTCCTCGGCGTGGCGTTCGAATTTGACGATGTGGAAATCCAGATTCTTGTTGCCGATAGTTTGGTTCTGCTTCTTAATCAGCTGTCGGATGGCAAGAAGTAAAGATTGGTGCAGAAATTAGGGACACATCTGAATATGCACAGAACGCGTACGAATTGTGAGCGATCGTGTGCACAGTCCAGGCGAGGAATGGAGTGCTGGGATATGAATACGTAAAGCAGTCGCGATAGTATATGGAACAGAAAAGTCCGATATACATCGTTAAGCAGTCTGGTTGATATATCGAACGTAAAACAGTCCCCGTTAATATATGAATACGAAAAAGAGCCGTTTATATATGGAAACATACAATAGTCTCGTTGATAAAGACTTGTAGTCATCGGTTAAAAGAACGATGTACACTCCTACGCACAATGATTGACGCCAAAGCCATACAAACTTAAGCACTAAAGCGCCAGGAGACAGACCTAACTACACTCTGAGAACGTCTCAGAAACAGGTGTTATATGCATAGCAATTTACAGGAAGGCGTAGAATCAAACATGTATGCGACAGAGAAAACACACAATACATAGTACAACACACTCGGCTGACAGATAGCACACAACAGCCAATCACAGATGCACATGCAGAATAGTCCACCACAGCCAACAACCCAACAACAGGATGCATATACCCATCCAAGCAGACACAAAACATTTCAGTGGGAGAACCTACGCAAACGATACATGCTACAACACACGTTACAAACAATACATGCCACAATGAACGCACAGGCTAGCAAATAGTAACGAATAGTAACACTACTCACCACAACACACCAAAACACAACACTACGCAACACACAACAACACACCACAATACAACACTACGTAACACACCACAATACAGGCCACCTGACAATCAGACGACCACACTCACCGCCAGTGTGCCGCCCAGTCTGAGCTCAGTCAGTTCTGTGCGCACGTGCACACGCAACAGCAGATCGGACGGCGAGTTGACTAACGCGTTGAGAAACTGGACCATGGTGAGGCACACGTCTGCGTACGCCTTACAGAAGTCTTTCAGCTGTGCTCGGGATAGGTGAAATCAGGTAAAGGTGGTTGGTAATGAGTTGGGTGTGAATGGTGAAGTCGGCTTAAAGTCGGGTTTTAACGGATTGAGTGTGTATGGATTCGCTGGCTGTGAGCATGGACGGGCTCTGTCATTGGTCCTCCGAGCGTACGGTTGTCGTCTTGATGAATGCGTTTAGAACAAAGTCAGCCACTTCTATGCCAGTATAAAGTGGCTCAGCTAGCGAACGCGGGTCGTGTACATAGATCTCGCACAGCTCAAGGCAGGCAACCTAGTATCGTCTGCGAGTGCCATGTCATACATGATGCGAAGACTCAGCCCGCGTGAGGTAAATATGGCACTAGACTTCATTGGGGTCTATGGGGTAGTGGAAGAGCTCCCTCTCCACCTGTGGGTGCCTCTGAGATGTGTGACGACTAGCCGTTGGCAAAGGAACTGGTGTGGTGTGGTGTACAATGAATTGTATCGAAATGGCAAGGCATTGCTGTCGCACTATTGGCGTCGTCTGCAAAGGTTCGTCTCAGTGCTTTCCGGAACGCCCGACATCTCATACCAACTGGCCAGGCACGAAATACCAGCCTTGTGTGTGCCGTGCACATTGGTGTGTAGACTTAATCGCACCACATAGGTAGAAAGGGACCACGAGGCTTAATAAAATGCCGCGCATATGCGCTAAAAAATGAATCTTACCTCCAGTTGCGATGCCGCACTCGCGAAATTGGCCATAAATATCTGGAATCTGGCTTTCTCCGCTCGGATTTGCTTTAGATCGGTGAATGCTGAATAGGAATGCGATGTGAGAAGAAGGACTCAGCATATCACTTTTTGGGTTACAGAATCAGAACCCCTATGTCACCGCCCGCTAACTGACGACAAAACTGCAAAGACACTACGCTATAGACTGATGCATACGTTACTAAACACAAAGCACACAACGCACAAATTACTTACGTGTATATGCCATATTTGTGGCATATGTTATTCAGATGTTTTGTAGCGGTATCACAGCTACGCCAAGATGCTGTAGACAACAAGTGAGTATTCACTTTAAATCGAAGTCTGTATATATATATATATATATATATATATATATATATATATATATATATATATATATATATATACATATATATATATATATATATATATATATATATATACATATAGACATACAAACATAAGAAAACAAACATCCAACGAGAACGGCCCTTTACCGCGTGGTCAGCAGCGTGCTATTAAATCTGGTCAAGGCATTGCCTTCTCCAATAGGCGCAGCTGACAAACTTGCATGTCACTCTGCCAAGTGTCAATTTACCAAAAGATGTCAATCTGACTATAAGTGTAAGCCTTACCTTGAAGCACTTGTCGGTGACCGCCTTCTAGGCAGCACACAGCGCCCAGCAACTCAAGGACATTCTTCTTTACCCGCACGTCACAGCTATCAAGACACTGTCGTTGGAAAAATACATGGATATAGCAAGTATGAATACCTAGTTATGGCATATATGATTACATGGATCCAGAATAGTGACGTAGCAACCACTGCACTACGACTGTACACTATGACGAGGATGTGGTTGATTTCCTTGGCCAGCAGTACTTGTCAGAGCACTCTCCAATGCTTAGCGCGGCCCTCACTCGGTCTAAAGACGTAAAGACGGGTTTTGTGTCATTTATGAAATGACAGTGATAGATATACCAGAACACGGAGGATGCATATCACTGTTCTGCCATACTTGGTGTTAAGGGAGTTATCCGATTCCGCCTGCGGACAAATCCGAATTTTTGCCCATACCCACGTGCCCTTGTACTATTTATGCAACTTATCAATGCAGTCGCAAGCAAACGTACTATATTCTTTCCACACTTCAACAGAATTCTAATGAACTATCATATACGTACACAATATATATATATATATATAAATCTATATATAGTATATATAGTATATATATATATGTAGATATATACATATATACATATATACATATATATATATTTA